TGCAATTACCCAAATGTTTCCTATCTTATTTTGTCCTGGGAACCAGGAAGAAATTGAGTCTTCAGTGAAATACACACATATTTAGTGCAGAGAGTAGAAAAAGTCAAGGGTGGATAACCAATCTGAAAACAGATAAATAGATTGGGCTTTATTTTAAAATTTATTTTATTTTATGTTTATAAGTATTTCCCTCTCTGTGTATGTGTTTGTGTGTGTGTGTGTGTGTGTGTGTGTGTGTGTGTGTGTGTGTGTGTGTGTGTGTGTGTGTGGTGTGGTGTGTGCACTATGAGGTGAGAAGAGGGTATAAGATCCATCTGGAACTAGAGCTACAGATGGTTGTGAGCTACCATGTGGTTGATGGGAGCTAAATCCAAGTCCTCCGTAAGAGGAACAAATCCTTTTAACTCCTGAGCCATTTCTCCAACCCTCAGGAATAATATAGTTAATATATTTATGACTTGTTGTATATGTTTCAGCCTTTTGAGAGAAAGAATTCACTGCTATTCAGTAAAGGCTGGGTGTACACTTTAGATGGTTTCTCAAACAGTACGATGCAATTAGAGAAATTTATTTCAGTATGATGTTACTTAGATCTAGGAAGAAGTTTATATTGGCCTCTTTTTCCTCAGAGACTTAAAGCATTTTCTGCCAGTTTTTCCCACAGCATGTTTTTCAGAGGACAAAAAATTTATTCTTCCAGGCTGTTGAATCACTGGGTAAACAGAGTTTGTGAAGCATACAATTGGATATGCTAGATACTCATATAGAAGGCATTTCTGCCAATATCTTGAAGCTGTGCAGTGTTGTTACATCAATAGTAAATGATGTTTCAGAGAGAAGTAGCATATTGGTTCAGGTCCAGGAGAACATAGCAGCAGCAGCAGAGAGAAAGTACAAAAAAATAAGAAAGGTATAACATTATAGAAGAATAAGTGTTGTGATAAAGGAAGCAGGCCAAATTGGAAGATGTTCTGTTGTTGTCTTATAGGAAGAAAGAAAGGCTCACTAGCCAAGAAATACAATTGATGTAGCATTGAAAGCTGCAAAGGGCAATAGATTATTATTATTACACCAGACCCTTCAGAGAGAGTGGGACCCAGGTCAAGATTGACCTTAACTCAGTAGAACTAATTTCAGGCTTATTATGCCTAGATCTGTAATTGCAGGTTTGTGGTATTTTAAGACACTAGATATATGATAACTTATTATATCAACCATAAGTAATAAAGACAAAAAACATTTCCACAAATCCAATACCATTGAATGGTTGTGACCTCAACGTAAAAGAAAATTAAGAAATTATAGAGAGATAATGTGAAAACATTTTACGTTATATGTAAAATACAGGCTTCCTTGAGAATTTATTCTTTTTATAATGGCCTCATACTAATTCAGAATTCTTATTTACAGTAACTGCACTGACAAGAAAACCTCCAATTTTAAACGTTAATTTAAAAAATTAAAGACAAAGACCCAAGAATAGCCAATATTGTCTTTAATAAAACAGACTGGAGAGATATGCCCCATAAGATGTCAAGATGATTTAAAATGCAATAGTCATTAAGGCAGCATTGTATTGACATAAAGAAAAGAAAAATGAGTAAATTAAACACTACAATGAACTTGAAGGTATTCTCTTGTATATAGAAACTTGACTTATCACAAAGATATAATTGGAGATAATTAATCGAGAATTATTCATGGACTTAAATACAATAATTAAAAAAATGATGCCCTTGGAATAAAACACAAAAATGATACAATGTCCATGTATCTTATGGAATATGTACGTTAGCTGTATAAGAATTGGTCAAACATTTTCCCAAGTGATTGTATCATTATACATAACCCCCCTCCCTAATTTGGATATTCTTCTCTTATACATATAACCAATTGAAATGAATAATGTCATAAAATACATTAAATAAAAACACTTTAATAAGAAAGCTCATATATTTTATCCACAAAAATGCAGTAATGACTAGCCATATATTGATACAACTGTATACATTTCTCCAAAAAGCTCAAATGTGAAAGATATTTTCACTTCATTGTGTATGGATTATACCACACTTTAAAAATACAGGCCTGTAGGACTATAGATGTTGGAGTAATCAAACAGAGATTTTCAAATAGTCATGATAAATATTTATAAATAAATGAATGAAATGAGGGAAAATGCAGGAGACAGACTGGGTGCAGGAACATGATGATTATCATAGAACTTGAAATACAAATGAATATTCATTTATTTAAAAATAGTTAAGTTACCCCTGAATTAAATGATAGACCAACAGAAAATACCTATAAAGACAAAAATATGAAATGCACAGAGAGAAATGGCATGAGATTCACCAAGAAGGCCTAAAACAGTAGAATGGCAAAAGTGAAAGAATGGTTGAGACAATTTTGAAGAGATAATAGCCTAAAACTGGCCCTATTTAAAGAAGGATATGAAGTTAAAATTGGAAGGAAATCTATAAACCCCAGCTAGCTGAGCTGAAAGAATGCAAATCTGTGATTGTTAGCATTAGACTGTTCCTGAATGAAATACTGATAGCCACCAATGTTCAGTAGTAGTGCATGCTTTTAATTCCAGCACTCAGGATGCAGAGATGTATTGATCTCTAAGTTCAAGGCCAGTCTTGTCTACAAAGAGAGTTCACTGGACAGCCACAGCTACACAGATAAGAAAGAAAGAAAGAAAGAAAGAAAGAAAGAAAGAAAGAAAGAAGGGAGGGAGAAGGAGGGAAGAAAGGAAGAAAGAAAAGAAATACAGATGGATGTTCACTGAATGAAAGGAAGATTATCTTACAATGAAGGTTGAAATTATTAATAAATAAATGAGTTATGGTGACTGTTTATTAAATTACAAATAATAGCAATGACTTATAAATAAAATACTCTAGTCTAATATAATCTATGTAAGTTGATATAGAACTTAAAAATATTGTAAATATTATCATTATTAATGAAAAATATCTATTAGCATTAAATTTTCATAACTCAAGGGTACATAATGAGAATTGTCTATATCTTTGCGGACTGTTAAGTGTACAACTACTTTAATAAACTTGACAACGTCATATAAACTTAAACATATCATATCATATAGTCTTCCAGTTCCATCCCTAGGCATTTATGAAGAGAAATGAAAGCATACTTACATAAATACTTAATACAATTTTTAGACACTTTTATTATGTATTGAACATTGGAAACATTCAGATGCCCATTAATAGTGAATAGATGGACAAATTAAGTTACATTAAAACTATGGGCTCACTCTGAAATCAAGAAAAGCACTCTCAAGATGAAACATGAATAAATGCAAACTATTACATTAAGCGCATATATCCGGACACAAATGAGCACATACTGTATGCTAATGACATGAAACTGGGCATGTGGCTGAGAGCAAGAAAAGGGTGTTAGGGACATGAAAGAGTCTATGAGAAGGGTCATGTCAGTTCCCCTCATCATGCAGTTTGATGGAAAAATACATCTTAACAAGTGTATTAGAAGTACTAATATGAAATGAGAAGGTCAGTCAGTTCTACCTTAGTCCTTGAAGAAGAGCTTTCTGGAAGAGTCTTATAAGAGAATCGCTGTCATGCTGGCTCCCCCCCTTTTTATGCTGAGGCACTCTGTGGAGTATGCTTGATTGAGAGTCCTTGCAACTTTGACCACGTAACAGCTCTCTGTAAGGTGACAAATCTAAATAAGTCCCAAAGGCTAAACTAAAAAACGCTCTATTGATATATGG